AAGAGGGTGGCACAATGAGAGGAAAGCAGGTCAAGGGATGGGAACCAAGCAGTGGGATTATATCCCCTGAGGGAAGTACCCCTGTGTGGGATGCAGGGAGGAATTAGATTTGTAATCGTGCCTCTCAGTTCTTCTGATGTGAGAATGTTCAAGAAATAATTGAAAAGATTACTAGAGGACCTCGCTGGATTAGTGGAACAGTTAGATCAGTTTCTGGGGCCCAATATTTATACATGGGAAGAGATGCAATCAATAATCACCATGCTATTCACACCAGAAGACAGAGGATCTGGGAAGCTGGGATATGGATATGGGAAAGGGAGCATGTGCAAGGACCACCTGGGGCTGGTACTCCATATGCCACCCCTCCTTCTACATCTATCTGAAAATGCCCATAGTGAACCCCACCTGGGACCACAACAGCACTGGGGGTAGGCAAGACATGGAGGAATATAGAACATTGATTATAAGAGGCATCAAAGAAGCAGCTCCACTTGACCAAAATGCCCAAATGCCCATGAGGTTCTCAATGAGCAGCAAAAGAGGGAAGAAACCCCCACAGAGGGTTTAGAAAGGTTGAGGAAAAATATAAGGCAGTATTCAGGAGTTGATCCTGACACAGTGGCCAGACAGATCTTACTGAAGATAAATTTTGTCACTCATACCTGGCCAGATATAGGAGAAAGTTAGAAAAGTTAGATGGTTGGCAAGAAAGGAGGTTAGAGAATCTTTTAAGGGAAGCACAGAAGGTGTATGTAAAAAGGGACTAAGAGAAGGCCAAGGCAAAAGCCAAAGTAATGGTAACTGCCATCAGGGAAGGAAAGCAGCATGTAAAGAACAACCCTGGTAAGATAGGAGGATTCAGAGTGCAGGAAGATAGATGGAGGGGGGATGCAGCTCCTTGGGTCTGGGCACAAAAAGGAGAGTTTGGGAAACAGGGGAACCTATGACCAGTTTGGTTTTACTGTAAAGAGAGTGGGCATATCAGAAAGAATTGCCCCCACAAGGAAAATGAGCTGAGGGTCTATGAGATTGAGCAAAAAGGAGAAGTGGAAGACTAGGGGGTGTCAGGGGCTCTACTTCCTGGGGACAGGATACCATCAGGAGCCCTTGATAACTTTAAAAATAGATCCTCAGGAGGAAGCATTTGAATTCTTAGTAGACATGGAGGCTGAAAGATCTTCTGTTTGTAGAATCCCAAAAGGATGCAAAAAGGGTCAAGATACTGTGCAAGTAGTAGGTACTAAAGGGGAAGGGTTCAAAGCCACAGTTATAAAGGATAAATCTTTTTTATTTGAATAAATAAAAAAAAAGGAATTGGGGACTAATTCTATTAGTTCCAGAAGCAGGGTGAAATTTATTAGGATGGCATTTACAGGTGCAGTTTGACATTGGAATGCTTCCAGAGGAAGGGAGAATGGTAGTTAATCTTCTCCAATTAAGGGAAGAAGATGAGGACAAAATTCATGAGATGGTGTGGGCAAAACCAAAAAACTGAGGTAAATTGAACATGAAAGCTATAGTAATAAAAGTAGTTAATGAGAACCATCCAGTTTGGGTACGACAATATCCACTCTCCCTGGAAGGGAGACAAGGATTGCAGCCACTGATCCAGGACCTACTTGAGGATAGGACCTTAGAACCATCTATATCCCTCATAATACACCCATATTACCAGTAAAGAAGTCAGATGGGACTTACAGGCTTGTTCAAGATTTGAGAGAAGTGAACAAAAGAACAGTGAATCCGTACCTAGTAGTGCCTAACCCCTCTACACTACTGAGTAATATCCCCCCAGCACAGCAGTGGTTCAGTGTGGTAGACCTAAAAGATGCTTTTTAGGCATGTCTACTGGCAGAGAAAAGTGGGATATATTTACCTTTGAATGGGAGGACCCTGATTCCGGGAGGAAGCAACAGCTTCGGTGGACTAGGTTACCCCAAGGGTTTTCCGACTCCCCAAACCTCTTCGGTCAAGCCCTAGGAGAAGTAATACAGCTCTTCTCCATCAAACCTGAGATAAAGCTCATCCAATGTGTAAATTATTTGCTTTTCTCAGGACAGGAAGAAAAAGAAGTTTGGGAATCCACTATAGTATTGTTAAATTTTCTGAGGGACCAAGGACTTCAGGTATCAAAAGGGAAACTTGAATTTGTAGAGTGGGAAGTAAAATTCCTAGGACATGTGATTTGTCAAGGGAGCTGGCGGCTGAACCCTGAGAGAATTATGGGGTTAGTCTCACTCCCAAGGCCAAAAATTAAGAGGGAAGTCAGAAGGATTTTAGGTCTGTTGGGATATTGTGGGCTATGGATTGAAGGATACACACAGGCTGTCCAATTCTTGTATGAAAAGTTAGTTGAAGAAGAGATTAGGTGGGAAAAAGATGATGAACAAAGTTTGAAGCTTTTAAAGCAAAAAGTAGTGCACTGGCACTGAGTCTTCCTGCCTTAGACAAACCCTTCTATCTGTTTGTGGATATAAAATAAGGGGTAGCACATGGAATATTAGCCCAGGACTGGGGAGGATCCAGGAAACCAGTGGCCTATTTATCAAAATTACTAGACCCTGTTAGCCAGGGGTGGCCAACTTGCATTCAGGCTGTGGCAGTGACTGCCCTACTCTTAGCAGAAAGCAAAAAATTAACCTGTTGGGGGAAAATTGAAAATATATATCCCAAACTCAGTAAGGAGTATCCTGAGCCAAAAGGCTGAGAAATGGCTCACTGATTCCTCAGTGCTAAAGTATGAAGCATTCTTAAGAGACAATGGTTTAGAGCTAATTGTGAGTAGCCAACTCAACCTTGCCCAGATTTTCTATGGAGAACCAGATGAGGAATTAATACATAATTGCCTAGAGGTTATAAACTATCAAACTAAAGTAAGACAGGACCTAACAGATCAGCCACTCCAAGGTGGAAAACGATTGTACATCAATGGATCTTCACAGGTAATAAAGGGACAAAGGGTATCGGGGCACGCTATGGTGCATGAAGGGTTGGCAGCCTTATAAAAGGAAAAGTCACCTTCCAACTGGTCCTTACAAAACTAAACAAAGTACTACAACTAATCACCCTTTAAATTTTAGAATTTATCTTTTGCTATATGAAAATCATTGCCTTGTATGGGTCTTTTGGTGTTGTACCATTCAAAGTACCCACCATAAAAAAAGATGTTTAATTCCCAGAGGATGTGCCAGTGCCTGAAACTTGTACAGGCAAGAAAAACTTCAAACACAGGGGAGCCAAGGGACTCCCAGAGATACTGCTGCTTCCCTATGGGAGGATAACACAAGGAAGGTGCTGGGAAAATTTCACTCTGATGGAAAGAATGAAAAGTCAACATTCTAGCTTGCTGAGTTAACAGGGGAAAGCTTGGGTGGAAAACTTCTAACCATTCGCCAGGCTGCGCTATCAGAATCACAGGAAATAAATGAGAATTTGGCAAAGACAATAGGAAAGATCCTGAAAGTCAACAACAACAACAAAAAAATGTAGCTCTTAAGAGATATCTCCTGCCAATTTTTTAAAATGTAACCCACAGTTTACAAAACCAGTCTGTTTAAAGAGGTTAGCTACTAAATTTATTAGCCAATTTAAAAATTCTCATATACATCAATTTTCTCTGCTATTTTATAGCATTTTTGCTCAGTTTCAATATACTGACTATAGAAACAGTTAAATAATTGAGTGATATAATTCCCTTAACAGCTCATGACATTTCTAAGAAAGACCAAAAAAACTCATCTGCTTTGAGGAAAAAAAACCAAATAAACAAAACTGTGTATTATGATGGAAGTAGAAAAAGACATACATTTTCCACAACAAATGAATCATAATATTTAATTTAAGCATGCCATACAAAAACATAAAGAAGGGAAATGAATGATCACTGAACCATACACAACTGAATGGGAAAAATCACCAGTGTTGTATAAAAAAGTGAAAATCTTGGAAAGATTCTTCTGATGATAAGCAGAATTTCACCAATCTCTAAATTCATAAATTTCCATTTTCAAGCCAGGCACATGTGACTTTGCAACTTTGTTTTTCTGCTTTTTTTGGGACTTAGCAGCTCAAATCCCGAATCCTTCAGGAAATCTTCTGTCCTTGACACTTTTTATTATTTTTGCTAGAGTTCTCCATACGTTTAGGTGTTCAAATTAGAATTGGGGCATATGAGTGCCCAAGTGATACAAGTGTATCTCAGATACACCTTTTGTGTGCCATACACAGTATCATAGGAGTAAATTAGGTCACAAGTAGTCCAAAATGGAAACCTGCTCTTCTGTTTAAAAAATTGCCTAAATAATTGGGGTCTGGTGGATATGCGTGTTAAAATCCTCATCTTTAGGAAGACACTGCAGTATTCCTTCTGCATATCACTCTTTTTTATTGGCCTCCATGGCTAAATAATAATAAATGATCTGGCTTTCTTTTCTGATATTTTCAATACATTCAAGATGGCCTCACATAATAGCAGAAGTTCGGGAGTATAGAAGTGTCCAACAGCTATAGAGCAGGTTCAGATGGCTATCACAGTCCATTTCATCCCTCAGTAATTACACTTAAGAAACCCTAATTCTTAAGACTACTAGCCCTTCCTCTCTCTCAATTAACAGCACATATAGCTATTGTCAAATACTGTACCTGGAGTACCCAAAATAAAGGATGCTTCTGGTATGTAGGGGAATATAGGACTTTCATATGTAAAAAACCCAACAAAATGAAACAGGAATCCTTACATTATTAGAAAATAGAACATTGAAGATTTTTCTTATCTATGATAAGATCAAAATGTTGCTTCTTGTATCTACATATTTCTATTGATGATTACCACAGACTAGTAAAAAACCCACCAGCTGTGAGGGATGCAGTCAAACTGGAGGAAAAAAAATTCCATTGCTTTCCAACATTCTGCAACTGAATGTTTTTGGTTTTTTTTTTCCTAATGCTTCCTCCCAGAGGCAGAAGGCCTTTCTGGCACATTCTGGCAGGTGACTTACTGGCAGTGTTTGTGGGATCCCGTCAGGGTTTCGATCACAAAACATTCCCCCTCGTTGAGACAATATGCCAGGTCCTTGTCCTTGCACGGCTTAAAGCGCTCCGAGCGCTCCGTGGAATACATCGTGGTGTCTGAGGGGAAACAGGCAAGGCAAAGAAAGGCTGTAAGGATAAATACTGGCTGTTCCTGCAGTGCATGGGAAATTAATTTGATCACACTGGGCTCAGTGACATCAAACACACACTAAAAGAAATGGAAAGCACAGGGCATGCCAACCTCCCTTTGACTACAGCATTATTTGCAATCGGGTTTCTTAAAAGATTCACAAGAAATACCTGCAGAAAAACAAACCAGACTGTAGCCTGTAGGGGAGTCTGTTGGAGTGACGGGGGTCGCGCACGGTCGGGACGGACGGAGACGAGAGATCTCTGCAGCCAGGTCATGGAACTATCGGTTTATTACAAAGGGCGTGGGTGCAGGGCCCTGCTGGGAGCTGCCAGCCGCAGCTCGGAGCAGGCCCGAGAGAAGAGAGGCCTAAAGTGTAAGAGAATTAAAGGTTTAAGAGCAGAGAGCATGTAGAAAGGAGGGGGTGAAGAAGTGCAGAGGTGAGCGCGAAAAGAGAAGAGAAAGAGCGGAGGAAGAGCGCAAAGTTCCGTTACAATAAATTGTGGAGGATTTTATTAAGAGTTGGTTAGCTGAGAAAGGCCATACTGACTTAATGCCGCTGGTTAAGCTTGAAAGGGAGGTCAGCAGTCTCTGATTCAGTGACTGCTGACAGGCAACAATGCCGGATGGCCTTGCTGCAACATGAGGAAAGGGAGGTGAGAGTAGTCCTGAATATCTGCAGAATGTAACAGAAGAATAAGCACAAGAATGTAGAAGTAGGTGTAGTTGCTGATATGTAACTAACCAATCCTGAGCTCAACTTTTGCAATATGTATGAAGCTTATTAAGAACTATATTTAACCCGCCGTATTCGATCAATAAATTGGACTTGGATGAACCAACTGGTGTCTGGGTCTCCTTCCTCCGACAATAAATCATCTTTAGTGTTGAATATTCAGATTCTCATCAACCAATCTACTACAGCATGCATGTCCTGTAACATTTCCATACAATCTATAAGAATCACTACATTACCGTACTGTGTTACATTTTAAACCCTAAATCTTACTCTTTGGGCCCCATCTGCCAAGCTGCAGGGTCTGCTCTGACCCTTGGACCTGCCTGCTTGCAGAGGGCATTGTTTCATCAAGAGGGGATTACCTTCGGCTGGCTACACCATTGTTTTCCAGTTGTTCAGTAACTAAGGGATCTCAAAACTTGCTTTCATTTCAATCTCACTTATAGTTTCTATATTCTCAAAATCTTTTGCCAGGCAATCATATTTATAAGGCTTTCCTGTTCCATCCTCACCAACATCTCCCCCGTTCTGATCAACAACTGAAATATTGGACACTTTCTTACTCGTAATTCTTTGCACACACTGAACTATACAGGGTACTGCTACTAAAACTACAATTATTACTATTAGAATAATCAAGCCTATTTTACAGAGTTCCTTTAGCCAAGGTGCCAAGTTCCAACCATCAAGCAAACTGTCCAGCCAAGATGGGTCATCTACTGTAATTTGGTTAGCTAAATCCTTCGGGTCTTGTAGCTGTTTATGGATGGAAACAGAATGATCAGATAAGTTCATACAACATAATCCTTCAAAATCTTCACAACCATGCCCATGTGCTACTAAAAGAAAATCAATGGCAGCTCTGTTTTGTAAAGTGGCATGTCTGATTGCCTCTTCATCTGTCGACAAGTCACTAATGGCAGTAGAGGTGGCATTTACTTCTTTGCTGAGCCAACACCCTAACTTGATTAATTGTGTCAATGCAGCTGAGGAAGCCCACAGAGGTAAAAAAATGCTTGCAACAATTGATTTTCCAGAGTTCCAGGGGTGAAAATCACTATCACAGTTGCTTTCATATTGATGTCCCCAGGAGGACCTAATCTCTCTGCTTTTCTTTTTGACTACCTCTTTGACACTGGGAGCAATTATTGTAAGTTGTCCCAAGGCACAAGGGCCTCCATCTATTTTTGAGGGTATACCTTGCCAGGCCCTGTCTCCACAGATGAGCCAGATTCCTCTAGGGAATCGAACTGGAAGTTTGTTAAGATGATCTGCATGAGGTTCATCGTACATAAGAAGCTTGGTTTGATTACACCAAGAAGTCATATTGCTATAAGCTGGGTGATACGGGGTAACATTTAAATGAGGGCCACCTTCTCCTAGGAAATGAAAGAAGTAACAGATATCCATAGTTAATGAGCCTAGGATTTCTAGCTCTTGAAGGTCAGATTTATCAACTTTAGAATTATCGATATAAGTTTGGTGTTTCTGGCTGGGAGTTGGAGATACATGATGATCATCATATGGCCAATATTTCTGAAATGTAACATTATCAAAACCTTCTGGGAAAGGTACTCCAACTACACAGGTTGAGAAGGGTTTGTCAGGGCTTGTGTCAGATAGACAGATGGTATCAGAGCCCGCGGACTTGGCTAAAGCAACCCAGACATTCGTCTTTGGTTGATTTACAGGTAAAGCTTCACTACAACAACTAAAACAAAAGAATAAAAGCAACATGCATTCGCACAAATGATAAAAGTCCATTCTTTTCTTGAGCTGTTTCTGGCAGATCATTTTCTCCTGATGACTCTGCGCAGTTCAAGTCTGGGTGCTTGCTTCCTGGTTTCCCCTCACGGAGTCTCTGGCTGATGTGGGGGCGTCAGCGGGCTCCAATGCGTGGGTTCTTCGCTGGAACCCACTTGAGCCCTCCACCTGTGGAAATACATGGAAATCCCTCTCCCCATAAGATTGTATGGTCCTTCTACTTGTCCGGAATCTAAATTTTTAATCAAAACTGGGGGGTGCTCTTTCAGTTTTGCCTTTTTGTTGTTCACGAAGTGCCTGTAAATGGGGGGGATCAGGCTCTGGGCCCAGCACGAGGCTCTGGGCTCTGGGCTCTGGGCCCAGCACGGGGCTCTGGGCTCTGGGCTCTGGGCTTTGGGCTCTGGGCTCTGGGCCCAGCATGGGGCTCTGGGCCCAGCACGGGGCTCTGGGCTTTGGGCTCTGGGCTCTGGGCCCAGCATGGGGCTCTGGGCTCTGGGCTCTGGGCCCAGCACGGGGCTCTGGGCTCTGGGCTCTGGGCTTTGGGCTTTGGGCTCTGGGCCCAGCATGGGGCTCTGGGCTCTGGGCTCTGGGCTCTGGGCCCAGCACGGGGCTCTGGGCTCCGGGCTCTGGGCTTTGGGCTCTGGGCTCTGGGCCCAGCATGGGGCTCTGGGCTCTGGGCCCAGCACGGGGCTCTGGGCTCTGGGCCCAGCATGGGGCTCTGGGCTCTGGGCTCTGGGCCCAGCACGGGGCTCCGGGCTTTGGGCTCTGGGCTCTGGGCCCAGCACGGGGCTCTGGGCTCTGGGCCCAGCATGGGGCTCTGGGCTGTGGGCTCTGGGCTTTGGGCTCTGGGCTCTGAGCCCAGCACGGGGCTCTGGGCTCTGGGCCCAGCACGGGGCTCTGAGCTTTGGGCTCTGAGCCCAGCAAGGGGCTCTGGGCCCAGCAAGGGGCTCTGGGCTCTGGGCCCAGCATGGGGCTCTGGGCCCAGCACGGGGCTCTGGGCTTTGGGCTCTGGGCTTTGGGCTCTGGGCTCTGAGCCCAGCACGGGGCTCTGGGCTCTGGGCCCAGCACGGGGCTCTGGGCCCAGCACGGGGCTCTGGGCTTTGGGCTCTGGGCCCAGCACGGGGCTCTGGGCTTTGGGCTTTGGGCTCTGGGCCCAGCAGAGGGCTCTGGGCTCCGGGCTCTGGGCTCTGGGCCCAGCAAGGGGCTCTGAGCCCAGCACGGGGCTCTGGGCCCAGCACGGGGCTCTGGGCTTTGGGCTTTGGGCTCTGGGCCCAGCACAGGGCTCTGGGCTCCGGGCTCTGGGCTCTGGGCCCAGCAAGGGGCTCTGAGCCTAGCACGGGGCTCTGGCCCCAGCACGGGGCTCTGGGCTCTGGGCCCAGCAAGGGGCTCTGAGCCCAGCACGGGGCTCCGGCCCCAGCACGGGGCTCTGGGCCCAGCACGGGGCTCTGGGCTCTGGGCCCAGCACGGGGCTCTGGGCTCTGGGCTCTGGGCTTTGGGCTCTGGGCTCTGGGCCCAGCACGGGGCTCTGGGCTCTGAGCCCAGCACGGGACTCTGAGCTTTGGGCTCTGAGCCCAGCAAGGGGCTCTGGGCCCAGCAAGGGGCTCTGGGCTCTGGGCCCAGCATGGGGCTCTGGGCCCAGCACGGGGCTCTGGGCTCTGGGCTCTGGGCCCAGCACAGGGCTCTGGGCTTTGGGTTCTGGGCTCTGGGCCCAGCAGAGGGCTCTGGGCTCCGGGCTCTGGGCTCTGGGCCCAGCAAGGGGCTCTGAGCCCAGCACGGGGCTCTGGCCCCAGCACGGGGCTCTGGGCTCTGGGCCCAGCAAGGGGCTCTGAGCCCAGCACGGGGCTCTGGGCCCAGCACAGGGCTCTGGGCTTTGGGTTCTGGGCTCTGGGCCCAGCACAGGGCTCTGGGCTCCGGGCTCTGGGCTCTGGGCCCAGCAAGGGGCTCTGAGCCCAGCACGGGGCTCTGGGCCCAGCACGGGGCTCTGGGCTTTGGGCTTTGGGCTCTGGGCCCAGCACAGGGCTCTGGGCTCTGGCCCCAGCACGGGGCTCTGGGCTCTGGGCCCAGCAAGGGGCTCTGAGCCCAGCACGGGGCTCTGGGCCCAGCACGGGGCTCTGGGCTTTGGGCTTTGGGCTCTGGGCCCAGCACAGGGCTCTGGGCTCCGGGCTCTGGGCCCAGCAAGGGGCTCTGAGCCCAGCACGGGGCTCTGGGCCCAGCACGGGGCTCTGGGCTTTGGGCTTTGGGCTCTGGGCCCAGCACAGGGCTCTGGGCTCTGGGCCCAGCACGGGGCTCTGGGCTTTGGGCTCTGGGCTCTGGGCTCTGGGCCCAGCAAGGGGCTCTGAGCCCAACACGGGGCTCTGGGCCCAGCACGGGGCTCTGGGCTCTGGGCCCAGCACGGGACTCTGGGCTCTGGGCCCAGCACGGGGCTCTGGGCTCTGGGCTCTGGGCCCAGCACGGGGCTCTGGGCCCAGCAAGGGGCTCTGGGCTCTGAGCCCAGCACGAGGCTCTGGGCTCTGGGCCCAGCACGGGGCTCTGAGCTTTGGGCTCTGAGCCCAGCAAGCGGCTCTGGGCCCAGCAAGGGGCTCTGGGCTCTGGGCCCAGCATGGGGCTCTGGGCCCAGCACGGGGCTCTGGGCTCTGGGCTCTGGGCCCAGCACAGGGCTCTGGGCTTTGGGCTTTGGGCTCTGGGCCCAGCAGAGGGCTCTGGGCTCTGGGCCCAGCACGGGGCTCTGGGCTTTGGGCTCTGGGCTCTGGGCTCTGGGCCCAGCAAGGGGCTCTGAGCCCAACACGGGGCTCTGGGCCCAGCACGGGGCTCTGGGCTCTGGGCCCAGCACGGGACTCTGGGCTCTGGGCCCAGCACGGGGCTCTGGGCTCTGGGCTCTGGGCCCAGCACGGGGCTCTGGGCCCAGCAAGGGGCTCTGGGCTCTGAGCCCAGCACGAGGCTCTGGGCTCTGGGCCCAGCACGGGGCTCTGAGCTTTGGGCTCTGAGCCCAGCAAGCGGCTCTGGGCCCAGCAAGGGGCTCTGGGCTCTGGGCCCAGCATGGGGCTCTGGGCCCAGCACGGGGCTCTGGGCTCTGGGCTCTGGGCCCAGCACAGGGCTCTGGGCTTTGGGCTTTGGGCTCTGGGCCCAGCAGAGGGCTCTGGGCTCCGGGCTCTGGGCTCTGGGCCCAGCAAGGGGCTCTGAGCCCAGCACGGGGCTCTGGGCCCAGCACGGGGCTCTGGGCTTTGGGCTTTGGGCTCTGGGCCCAGCACAGGGCTCTGGGCTCTGGGCCCAGCACGGGGCTCTGGGCTCTGGGCCCAGCACGGGGCTCTGGGCTTTGGGCTTTGGGCTCTGGGCCCAGCACAGGGCTCTGGGCTCCGGGCTCTGGGCTCTGGGCCCAGCAAGGGGCTCTGAGCCCAACACGGGGCTCTGGGCCCAGCACGGGGCTCTGGGCTCTGGGCCCAGCACGGGACTCTGGGCTCTGGGCCCAGCACGGGGCTCTGGGCTCTGGGCTCTGGGCCCAGCACGGGGCTCTGGGCCCAGCAAGGGGCTCTGGGCTCTGGGCCCAGCAAGGGGCTCTGGGCTCTGGGCCCAGCACGGGGCTCTGGGCTTTGGGCCCAGCACAGACTTTGGGGTCCCAGCCCTGCCCCACAGCAGCCCCAAGGCTCCTCCAGAGCTATGCAGCTCTGCAGGTGGGGTCTCACCTGGGGACAGTGAAGGGTGACCTGGTAAATCTCCAGCTGTGTTCTCAGAGGAGGCCACTCAGCAGCTGAAATTGTTTATGAGCCAATGTGTGCAGTGCTGGGTGTGCTGCCCTGCTGGGGCTCAGCCCAGGCCGTGCAGGGGGCAGGGCTGGCCTGGCACCGCTCTCCTGTGCCCTGCAGAGCAGGTGACTGTCGGGCACTGGATCCCCGGCCTGAGCGCGGACCACGAGGATGTCATGGCCGCGCCGGCGCCGCAGAGAGCGCGGCCCAAGTGACCCAAGGTTGTCACTTTCTGAAGGCTCCGGCCTCTCAAAGAGTTCTCCTGTGCTGCTGCACTCCAGTGCTGACGACAGAGAGCGGATCCAGAAAATCAAGCGAGCTGCAGAGGAACTGTTGGTTTTCTGTCTCCCCTCATTTTCCCGGTTTGCCTCCCAAACTTGCCTGGTGCACTGTAAAGCTGGGAGCAACAGGAGCACAGCAAGTGGCTGCTTTATTAAAGGAATTGTGGGTGTTTTCTAAAGGCTCTTGTTGGATTCTGGTTTGGTTTTGACTTTTCCTTTTAGGAATAATGAACTTATTCCTCCATATGTTCCAGCTTGAGCAGTCTTGTGAAGCTTCAGATCAGCCCTGTGGGCTGCTGGGCTTGGGGTGCAGTTCCTGATGGTTGTAGTGGTAATTATCTGCGATTAACCTAATTGGTCATGCACACTGGGTCATTTCAGTGTGTTCACTAACAGAATCCAGCCCTTCCTCTGAAACCTCTGGTGAAACACACCCCTAAGGAATTGGAGAGCAAGTGAGAAGCTTTCTTAGTTTACTTACTTATTTTTCAAAGAAAATGCTCAAAAATCTGCAGTGTTTCCATGCCTTGGTGAGCTGGGAGTAAACTTTTCTTTGTAAAAAGAAAAAACCTGGTGGATATTAAACAGAAAAATTAAGAAACCAACTCCAAACAGAGTTCCTGCATCCACCAGTATTACTGGAGAAGTGCACCCTGACCTTCCCTCACATATTTTTCTTGCAGCAAAAAACAAATATGGGAAACTAAATTTTGTGGGGATATTTTATTTTATTTATTTGTACAGGTGATTATTTTTAATAAAATATTGCCAAACAATACAGTGATTAGAGGTCACATTTTAGATTTCTTGGTGCTGCTGTGGAGACTGAGATAAGGGGTGTATGTTCATTTAGTAATAATCAAAGCACATTTTTAAAAGGGGAAGAGGACTGCAGGAATTTCAATCACAATTATATCACACTGCTTAAACGTCCCTTCACAGTTCTTTGCGCCCATTCCTCCAAGTATTTCTCCTCTAAGAACTTGATACAGGCCAACGCAGTGTCTTTGACTGAGCTTGATGCGTCAGTAACCTTATCTGCAGTTAGGAAGGACGTAGTTTGTGATGATAACGGAAGGAAGTAGCAGACCTGTTTGTACAAAAGTAAACGAAACAAAAAAGCCTATGGATTGCAAGCTAGCCATTTTTTTGCAGAGCCTGGATGAGTACCATAGCTTTCATGGATGTGAATAGAAGCACACAGTGCTTGTGAAACTGAAGGCAATAATTTGCAAAAAGCATGCCTTTTTACAGCACCCCAGTGATCTGGTTTCCTCTCTGCTCCCAGGCCCTCCAGCATCTGCAGGTAAATGTACAGAGCAGTGCAGCAAGAAACACTTGTGTATAACATATCAAATATGTGTGCTCTGTGAGCAAACCTGCTGCCCCAAAAAAGGAACTGCAGCCATCAAGCGCTGCTGAAAGTTTTCAGAAATGTGTTTTCTTAAATGGAAAAGTTTTAGCCTTCCCATGGCAAAGAAGATTGGCCATGGGTCCAGAGATGGGAATCAGATTGTGAGATTCCTGGCATATGAAAGTGCAAGCGATGAATTTAATTTGAACTAATTCCTTGGCCTCTGTAGTCAGCGGAAAGACAGACACACCGCCAGAGGCCAGTGCAATGCACATCCTCTAGGGGTGTGTTTTAGAAGTCTGGAGGGGTCGGGGTTCAGGGCTCATTTCTAACAGTCAGATTGGCCAAAGCTGGGCAAGGCAGACTCCACACACACCCAGACTGAACTCCTTTTTTGGAGTCTCAGCTCAGGCGAGGTGACAGCCCCAGGGCAGGGGGACAGGGCAGGGGGCACAGCTGGGCCCTGCAGGGTTACTCACAGTGCAGGAGCAGATGCCGGTGCTGTGAATCTGGAATCCAGAACAGACGTCTTGAGCCCTGTTGTACCCTAGGCGTGGGGGCATCGCCCTGTGCGTCACAGACTTCACCGCTACAATGTAGGGCAAGCTGCAGGGCGGGGACAAGCATCACTGTCACCGTGATATTTTCTGAAAAATCCCTTCACCAGGATTTCTTCTCCTGGGAAGATGAGAAACCTCAGTTTCTCCATGTTTTGCTCCTCTGGAATGTAGCTGGAGATTGTTTATCCAAACATGTGAATTGTTTTTAATTAATGACCACTCACCATCAGCTGTGTCAGACTCTCTGAGTCAATCACGAGCTTTCATTATCATTCTTGTCTAGCCTTCTGATGTATCGTTTCTCTTTTTTTAGTATAGTTTTAGTATAGCATTTCCTTTAATATTATGTTAATATTAAATTAATATTAAATTAATATTAAATTAATATTAAATTAATATTAATATTAATATTAAATTAATAATATAATATCATAAAATAATAAATCAGCCTTCTGAGAACATGGAGTCAATTCTCATCTCTCACCTCATCCTGGGGAGACCTCACAACACCACACATCACACCCTTCCTCTTGTTGAAAACATTCATGGGAGTGACAACAACACATCTTTTTCACAGGAGGGCAGAGGAGCTTGGGTGTTTTGCACGATCCTGGCTCAAAGCTGGGCCCCTGCTGAGCCTCAGTGAGGCTTCACACAGAGCCCAGTGCGGGAGACCTCTGTAGCAGCCAGAGAACAATTCCCCACCTTTTCTTTTTAATTTACCCTGCTCTCCTCAGCTCATGTTTACTGCATCAGGGAACAACCCTTACCCAGAGGCTTCACAGTGTGGCCACAGTAAAGGTATCCACACTCATTCAATCCCCTCATGGAGGGGGAAGGCAAGCACAATACAGAGTGCTGCCTTTTAGGGCTAACTGGAAGAATCACTGAATGTGAAAAAGAAACAGAATAGAGGAAGGTAAGATAGACCAAAACGTTCCATTTGCCCATGTTTCACTGTGTAAGAACAAAAGGAGATCTAATAACAATAATAAAACTTTAAAAAGCAGGATATGTTAAACTGAGCAAGGGACTCGGCAGAATTTACAGACACAACAAATGTGTGAGGTTTCAAGAAGTTCCTTGACTAAATAAAAACCCTATAATTACGTGGAATGGGAGTACAAAGTCACTTCAAACAAAGAACAAATAAACTCCCAGCTAGGTGCTTCAGCATACTGACATGCTCTCTGGGACATGAGTTTTTTTCTCCATTTGCCCTTTTGAAATTCTGGCCTATTTGCCCTCCTGGTAGACCACTCCCAAAGAGTCACTGTCAGGGAATCAATACTGGACTATGCTAAAAATTTGTGATGATCTGTATTTATTTCATTGCACCCTAACATTGCAAAGCAAATCTGGCTGTACAAATTCAGGCATCAACCAAGGAATCTCACTCCTTACAAAGCAAAATGCCCTTTTGTCACCCAGTGACAGCTCAAGGTGACAGCACCCCAGACTGCGTCCCCAAAGTGCTCAGAGTTAAAATCAGAGCCATACTCACTCTGCCTGGAAAGGCTCCCTTAGGGATACTAGAACGACAAAATCCCTGGGCTGGCGGCCTGCCGTGGGGCCAGACGTGAGATGGTAAATCTTTTCGCTCTGACTCACATCCTCCACGACCTTACACGCCCTGTGAAGACATTGAGCACACACCTCAGGCCCTGTGTGTGCAACTGCAGCTCCTCCAACACACTCAGTGCAAACAGGCTCATCCTGACACTGGACCGTTCATTTTCATGTTCCAGCAGCAAGGCGGAGAGAGTGAAACATTTAGGTTTTCTGCAACACCTCATCAGCAGGATTTCTTTAGGTTTTGTTTGTTACAAGCTGTAAATTCAGTAGAGTTTGCAGATTTTCAAATATCCCTGAAGTTCCACCCTCAGGTAAAAATCTTTCAGGATGGAATAACTAACTGAAAATGCTTCACCATATCAAATCAGTACAATTTCAATTCAACTGTCTCTAATCACTATTCTACACCATAAAAGGTAAATAAAAAACCCCAAACACCTTTTAGAGCCATTCCAAAACTTGTTTCAAATCATACAAACTTTCAAACATGTTATTTTTTGAAAATATGCATTTTGAAGGACCCCATTTCTTGATTTCTCATTTTGACTGTGAAATTGAGCATCAGTGTCTCCAACAGCACAAACATGAAGGAGTCCAGCTTTTCCCTAATTTTTAAAGCTAGCATGCACAATATATCCACCTCAGTTCTTACTTTAAACTTTTTCTTTTTTTTACTAGTTTTGGGTTTTTGTACAAAAACTTTTAACATACACCTGCCTAGGACTGGAGCAGTGCTTATTTAAGAAAAAGTTGACCTCTGTCCTATCCCTGCCTTTGAATGATACAGAGCATTCAATTCTTTTGAAAAATACAGTGCACTCTGTATTTTGGAACCAGACTAAGCACAAACCAAATTTTACTTCTACACTAAAAAAACCCAAACCCCATATTTTGATTAATAAATGTCTGATGTCAAACTCTTACAACACTTTGTTCCTAACAGGGCAGGGTCTCACAGGATGTGCCTGTGACAGAGGAGAGGAGAGGCCAGGGGGCTCAGAGCCCCACACAAGGACAGGGTCTCACAGGATGTGCCTGTGACAGAGGAGAGGAGAGGAGAGGGGGCTCAGAGCCCCACACAAGGACAGGGTCTCACAGGATGTGCCTGTGACAGAGGAGAGGAGAGGAGAGGGGGCTCAGAGCCCCACACAGGGACAGGGTGTCACTGGATGTGCCTGTGACAGAGGAGAGGAGAGGCCAGGGGGCTCAGAGCCCCACACAGGGACAGGGTGTCACTGGATGTGCCTGTGACAGAGGAGAGGAGAGGCCAGGGGGCTCAGAGCCCCACACAGGGACAGGGTGTCACTGGATGTGCCTGTGACAGAGGAGAGGAGAGGAGAGGGGGCTCAGAGCCCCACACAGGGACAGGGTCTCACTGGATGTGCCTGTGACAGAGGAGAGGAGAGGAGAGGGGGCTCAGAGCCCCACACAGGGACAGGGTCTCACAGGATGTATTTGTCCCAGGTTGGACGATGCTTGAAATCCAAGAGTAGAAAGGCGGCCATGTGAAATGGCACGTTGACCTCCATCTCCACCTTCATTAACCGAGTATCACCCTCCTCGTCAGTAAAGACTTTTATCTGGGAAAAATAAAGGCAGCATGTATTAGAAACAAAGAATTATTACTGTAAATGTTTAGATACATAAATGTTACATAGTTAGGACTTCAGGCAGATTTTCTCAGGAGTTCCTGGGAAATGCCACACCCTTTTGTCCAGGCAAATCAGCCACACCTTGGCTTAGCCCTCTTGCCCTAGAGTAAACGCCCACTTCCCTTTCCAAAATATCCTTCTTTTTCTCCTTTGCTCTCTTCTGTGAAGCAGAGCACCCAGAACTAATGACACTCTGAATAACTACTTAAAATCACAGTTTTGCATCTCTCGTTCCCCACCTGTACTATCTTGCCTTGATTATTTTGGGTCTATTTCTATTCATAGGCCTAAACCCCAAAACAGAGAATTCAAAGGGAATAACCTGTACATCACAATGCACACACAAGAAGGGTTTGTCACCTCCCACAAACCCCATAAAACGGAAGAGGATGGGTACAACAGAGTGTTTAGAATTAGCGAATTTTACTCCCAAATTCATGTGCTTTATTGCCTCTCAAATCCTGAGAAGTTTAACAGATTTGCATTTCCAAGTGATGCAAAATTCGTAAGGTTCATCATCACTTTTGAAGGTTTGTTGTTTTGGTTTTCTTTTTCTGCATCAAAAATGAGCAATGTTTTGTTTCTTCTGCATTTCCGCAACAACACAGATTTTGTATTTCTCTGGATTGTCCTATCTTGGAAGAGGAAATAAACCCCAACTTAATCCAGCAAGCACCTTTCTGAAGTAAAGTTTGGTGTAAAATTAAATGCTTAAGAGCTTTAAAAACCATCTACAGGAGGTCTGCATCAATATTCCTCTATGGCACAGAACAGAAATCATGTTGTTCTAGGAGTCTTCTAGACTTGAGAAATCACAAATAAAAGCAGGAGGTGCAGCTGTCAAAACGCCTCTCTGCTAAGTGAACATTGGCAAGGCTGGATTATCTCTGCAGCCTTACAAGCCTTGTGGCTTTGTGTCAAAGACACAAAGAATGCCATTTTTTACCTTCAAAAACTGTCAAGTCAGCTTGGGGTCATTCCAGTTGCAGGGAAAAGGGAACAGATCTGCACTTTAGGATCATTCCCCCTTGTGCAGTCCCTCTCCAGACTTCTGGTACCTCCCCCTTTAGGTACTGGGAGGTGCTTCAAGGTCTCCCCAAAGCCTCCTCTTCCCCAGGAGGAACAACCCCAGTTGTTGTCTCTGCCTGTCTCCAGGAGCTATTTCAAGCTTGCTTTTCCCAGCTCTAAATACAAATACAGAGTTGCTTGCTGTTTATTTGGCACAGCAGTATTTACTGAAATATTTAACCACTGGAACAACCTACACACAGCACTGGCAGCTTTGCCATCACTCGAATTCCTCATGATTTGTATCTGCCCTTATTAAGTATCCTATTGTCTACATGCAAGAGTCACTAAGCAATGTTCCATAGCCTGCAATGCACAGGAGGTCAGACTAAAATGCTGAAAAAGTCATTTATTGTCCCAAAACACCTCTGGGTTGACACGATCTGGAAGTAAACTGCCAGTCACTAACCCCATTTCAGAAACTCAGCCCTGGCAGACGCCAGGTGTCTCTCCATTTTCTGGAAAACATGCACTGCAACAGGGTTAACACCCTGTTTTCCCTTGCCCGTCTCCTGCTTTTCCTAGCAGCGTCCTCCTCTGCTAGAACTGGTTTACACAGGTGTCCTCACTGATTTTGGGTTTATAACAACCCTTCACAAACAGGGAGGTGCTCTGCTTTCAGATTTCTGTAATTTCTTTTCGGCACTTACATTATCCTCAGAATTGTCCAAGGCTATTTTCCACTTTGTTTTCTCTGCCACGTAGGTCAACGCGGCAATGTTTTTGTAATTCAAATACGCCTGAAACACAAGACACGTGTCTGTAAATGGAGGGGTAAGGGTACATTTCACTGAACATTGCAGAAATGAGGTGCTCTTTTTCCCCATCATTATGCTTCAACTGCAAACAAATGTTTATTCTCCTTGTAAGGGAAAACACACTTCAGTAGTTTCTGAATTAAAACACTTCCAGTGGCTTCCTGATGCACTCACATGGCTGTTGGCAAAACAATCTTAATTAAAGGACAACAAAACACTATTTTCAGCTTCTCCAGTTATAAAGTTGTGAAGAGCAACTTTGACCACCAGGGAGACAATACAGATAACCTCTCAGACCGCCGAATTAATGGTTTTGTCCATCTTCCTCTTAAGCAATTAGAATCTACTCAAAAATTAACCTCTTCTTTGCTACCAAGCTGGGTCCATCTCGGCAATTGTTTTTCACAGCAGGCTCACAAGCAAAGAAAATGCAAATATAGCCATTCTTTGTGCTTGGCTACAGTGGATGGAGTTCTCATTTAACCACTCCATAAAGGGAATACAGCCTCAGAGTGTTTATGACAGGTTTTGATTTCACAGGAAATAAATCTTAACCAAGCGATTTTTATCATTGTGTGCATATTTACATTTGTTGCTCTGCATAAAAAAAAAAAAAAAAAAAAAAAAAAAAAAAAAAAAAAAAGGAAAAGAAGCTGCTTTAGCTACAAAAACTGGACACTGAAACAACATTTAATTTATTTATAAATCCACCTAAATTCATCATTCACTACAGGACATGGACACAGTCAGTGGCCCATCATGTCCAAACCAGAGACACTTGGTGCAGGGAATCTGGGAATGAAAATTATTTCCCCTATCTTTCCATTAAGCTATTCCAATGTTCATCTCGCTGGTGCTATCTCTCCCCCCACTTTTAGCACTTACTAAATGGTTTCCAATTTTTCAGACATTCTGTGGCTGGATAAAGACAAAAACCAAAACCCCAAACTACTTCCTCCACAGGAGAATTCAGCTTTTATAACAGCTGGGGATACTGAGGGATAAATCTGCAGGAGACCTTAAGGGACCACTTGTATGCACGCGTTTTAAAGACTATTTTATATCCTTCTATTGAACTCACTCTTAGAGCAGTAGTGAACCATCTACTCCCCCTTTTCAAAAGAGACATTTCACTGTGTTACACATCCATCCATTCCTCACGATTACCACAAAACTTCCGAGGGTCCACCTGTACTGCCACAGCCTGAACAGTTGCTTCACACACCCCAAAAGGTGCACAAATACAGCTTTTTATGCACCTACAGATTACCTTGTTTCTCTCCTCCCACACGTCACTGGGCTCTTCTGCTCTGGCGTAAACGATGGACATACTAAAACATAATTAAAAAGAGACAGTAGCATAAACTGGTTCTTTACACATCTGTGTATGCTAGGAAAAATCACTTTCTATAGGTTTAAGTGTCTTTTAAATACAGGTACTTTATCAAGTTTTGGTTTGCAATAACTGCTTTTTCTTTCCAAGAAAGACAGTGAAACACAATAACCTCCAGAGCAAAGCAGCTTTGAGACAAGAAGCCTCTAACAATTTCAGTGCCATTGAAACAAAATTATTTGCAAATGTATGCCATATAACAGTCATATATATGTTAAGGGGAGTTCAATTACTTTATTTAGAGGATTATGAAATTAAGTTTTCAAAATCAAGACCTGCCAGTGACCCAGCTATACCTGTTGAACAGAAATCTCTTTCTAACAGCAGCTTCATAAAATCTTCTCTCATCATCCTGCAGGAAAAGTGAACCAGAGAGCAACAAATCTCATTATTTTAGAACAAAGCCTGAAAAAAGACAACTAAAAATTATTTATTCCAGATGGGCAAATGCCAGAGCAAAAATACAAGCAAATAAAGAGCAATTGTGCAGTGGCCTTTCCACAAGCTAACCCAGAAAACCAGTGGTTTACTTTTTGCCTAAGCAATATTCTCTGAAATTTGAAAAAAAACAATGGGATAGAAGAGTTGTATTATTGCAGCATCCTCCAGGTGCTCTTTGGTCCTAAAGCAGTTGCAGCTGGGCAGTGCACCACACATTCTGCTCTTTCTAAACGTGCCACCCACCAAATAAACTATTAACCTAATTTATCATCATCTGGTGTTCAAAGCACAAAGGGAAATTGTATTTTTCAAAGTCAGTTTCTTCTCTTGGACAGCCTGCAGTGCGCAGTAGTAAACTTACTGCCCCAGTGAGTACATAAGACACCTTGATTAATTTGTCTAGTTCCCATCCTATAAAAAATAAGGTCTCTGATGTTAAAAAATAATTTCATTTCTGCCTACACTGGCTCTCTAAAATTCTTGTAACTGGAGCAGGAGGATTAGTGACAGGTGTTAACACAGCAAATAATTCAACAATAGCAGTCAAACTGCTTCAAGTGCTTCACGAACCACTTTCAGGGAAACATGAACTGAGATCTCCATGTCAAAGCGACTGGAAAGCCCACCCACATCATGGGATTTGATTCCCACAGACTTCTTTATTCACTCTATTTCTCACCTTTGTTAAGGGTTTATAAAAATAACTATTCACCGAATACTTATAAATTTCATCTGGTCAGTGGAACTTGCACGAGAAACAGACAAGTGGAAAAATCTCCTAACACATCAGATTCTTCTTCTCTGTGGTTCTCTCCATCAACCACAGAATCTCTGTCATGAGGATTCTCCACGGAGCCTCTCACTTTTGGAAGACTAAAGCTGACAATAACAAAGCTCGCACTCGAGGGCAAGCGCTTCATTTGGAGCTTTTCTCTCCAGCAAGAAGATGCACTGCAGTGCCCTGCTTGGTCCTTGCTTCCCCAGCAAGGCTGTGGTGCCCACCCCACTGCTGAGAGCTCACCCGAGTAGCGGGCCTGACCCTGGGGAAGGTGAATGGCTCCCCTTTTTCGTCCAAAGCAGAGAAAGTGAGGAATGCGCTGCAGATGCGCTGCGGTTCCGGGCGCTCCTGGGCCCACTCCTCAGCGCTGAAAGCCTCCACACGGACACCAACCTCCACACTGCAAGGACAGGTTAAATAAATCATTGAGCTGCTGCCAGTGGTGCAGAATCAGCCCTGAGACATTCTGGAGAGGACTGCAGTGCCTGCAGGTGTGCAGGAAGCCTGACTCAAATACCGTCTGTAGCATAGCAAATCAATTACTCAATCTGGACAGGCACACCTTTGAAATAAAATAAACGATGGCAGTAGCTAAATAGTGCTACCAAAAATAAGCAATAAATAGAATGCAGTCTGTCAATAAATGCCAAGATGGGAAGATCCTGGCAAGAAGCTGGAATCTTCTGAGGAGTCAGATCTCTGGGAGCAACTCAGCCCTTGAAAATCCCTGATTTTCAGAGGAATATTTATTGTCTGAATTTGCAGGAGTGGGATTTGGTGACAAATGATCTTTAAACTGAGAGTCAGAGAACAATTTCTTTAAAAAAACTTCCACTGATAAAAGTGAAACCAAAAAAAGGGCACATATAGGAAGTTACAGATACAGATACATGCCTCCAAGTCCCACCTGAAAAATAACTAATTGACTAATGAAAATCCTACTGATGAAACGTGAAACACACAGTGTAGGCTGGTGCTGGAGATGCCCAGGGAGACGAGAGATGAGGAGCCTTACCTGCTCTTGAAAGTGTTGTTAACACTGGCCTTGAACAGCAGGCGGTCATACTCAACGGACTGCCGCCAGAATGTGAACCTGCTAATTTCCTTTAGGAATGGCTGTGACCGACAGAGGCGGCTGAAACAGAAACACAGAGAGACAGACCGAAACACAGCTGTGCTAAAATCACAGCCAGCGTGACTGACCACAGAAACAGGGCTTGCAGGACCTGGAAGGTCACTAAATTACACTGATCTACTCCATGCTAGCACGGTCAGCTCCAAGAGCATGTAACTCGAGCTTCAGCCATCATGATACCACTTATGCCATGCTGTTACATTTCCAGCACGTTTTAGAAACGCCAATTAATCCTCACTGCTTGAGACTGCCCTCTCTCAAAGCCAGACCACGAATCCCTTACCTACAGCGTAACCGCTTACCTCACAGTTTCATTGCTTTCTGCAGGACTGCATGGGGAGCAGGCCCCTGAGCAGTGTAAAAATGCCAGACCTTAAGGCCTTTAAACAATTAAAGAAAACCTGAACAGAAGGCTGAGCACCAGGGACAGTGTCCAAGCAATGCCATGTCAAGTTACCTAGTCTTAATATTGGTACTTTTCGCTTGGTTTTAGATGCTTTCTGCTAGTATGATATGAAATGAGAATTAAAAAACCGTCACATGGCTACCAGATGCATTCTGAGTGAAAAGAATATTGTTTCCAAGCTCTCTGGAGCAGGAAAAAATCAGGTTTCTTCATCAGTTCTGCATGTATTCAAAGCCCCTCACTTTCTACTGGGAAGTCTGCGCATCACAGGAAGAGGGGACAATTTACAATATATGACATTTATTTTTGGCAACACATTGCTCTCAGTAAGGAGCCCACGTGCACATCTAGGATAGACTGTTCCATGGTGAGGTTTCCTAAATTTCAAAATACAGTTTTGTAGCACTTCTAGCTTTTAACTCAACTGCACTTTGAAAACTAATGTACCGGTATTTTTAAATGCACACAATTATCTGCAGCTAATTAACTGGCTGGTACATCTCTTCAATAATACATTGGAATTACTTTGTAATTAAATTAAAATAATTTGCTCCTCTGATTTAAAATGCTAAGCGTTGATTTTATTTACAATGTTCACTCTAAAGATGCAAACACAATAATGATGAGGAGAGGAACAAGCCAGAAATCAGGCTTAAATATTAATTTCTTTCTGGAAAAGTACACCCTGAATGCTTTTATTGAAAATGTAAGGAATAAGAAAGTATCCATCAAGTTCAAGCTAATATTACTAATATTCAAATTGTTTTATTGCTATCTGCACAATTTTATGCATTGACCAAAAAAAGGTGGTGGGGAAGTGAGAAGGAGAGTGAGTAACCTTTAAAACGCCCTTAGAATTTTATTTTTTCAGGCTTATCCCTCCTCTCCTGTTCCTCCATCACAGTTTGTGGCCATAGAAACTCTTACCTGGCACCTTCAGAGGTAGGGTCTGAATGGCCTCACAAAAGGTTCATAGTGAGAGTAGTTACTTCTCCAGCAAAAACTACAACATCTCTGCTTTCAACCAGCCTCTGACACCAGCTATTACTCCTGAAATTCTCAACATGAGTAATCATGTTTGACATGAATTAGTTCAAAGAAAATTTGTCCAGTACTCCATTTGCTGATGTCTCCGTTCCTTTTTTAAATCTAAATGTGACTCCCACAAGGTAAAACTTATCAGATGAAAACAGGTAAATATTCTGAGTCATATTACGGCAAAAATCTGCAGCAGTCCCTTCAAGCCACTGGAATTGCACACGGGGGTAGGGTCAGTGCACTCTGTTGTTACTAAAACAAGTTGTTTATCCAACTACTACAGAAAATCTGTTGTTATCAGTACAACCACTGGATACAAATCAAAACCACAGGAATAATGAATGGAGAAGTCATTTGATTATTAAAGATAAAAAGGGAAAACATATCTAACGTCCCTGCAGTGCATTAGGTCACTCGGTATGCAAGGAGAATTCAGACTGAAACTTGAGTGCTGCTTCCAAAGAAGTTTTGTGCAGTGCCCAGGAACAGGAAGGGAGACAAACAAGGGTTGGACTCCAGGGAAGAGGAATTAAGTGATTATGTGCCTGGGTCACACTGGCAGGCAGCGTCACAAAATATATTTTGTTCTCTTCACCTGAAGATGCCCGAGCTCTTTAAACTGCTAAAATTGTTGCAAGCCATAGGATGTGCAACTCAGAGGGACAGAAAGGTCAAGGGACTTGCTGAGGGTTATGCATCCATTCTGTGCACACACCAACCACACAGAGCCTGTTTATGTGGATCCTTTTTCTCTGACTTATTTGTCTTCTGGCATCACGAGGATCTGCAGACTAAGTTCTGGCAGGCTGTTCCTTTTTGGATGCCACTTGATGCAGGGTGAGCATTGGTTTGATCCTGGTTAAACAACTAACTTTGTTTCTAAAGCACTGCACCAGGCACAAGGAGAGCAGGTTTCCGTTCCTGTATCCAATGTTAGCCTTCTGCAAAGATTCCCAGAAAGGTAACACAGCCTCTTTTGCCTTAGGCTCTGTATGTGTAACAGAATAATGCCTGAGTCTCAGTGGCATGGCATGCTGTGGGAGACGGACCACTTAAATAGTTCAAAGGCCTCCTGTCATGTGAGGAGGAAGACAAGTCACAAAGGCCTGGGTCTGTATTCTTCATAAAATAAATCCCTGTGAAACCTTGAACGTTAAAAGCACATCCACTTAGAACCACATGCAGAGACAATGCTGGAGGAAAGTACCTTGCTGAGATGCTTGCCACCATCTGTATCCAATCCATTATCTGTCCAGCAGAGGTGTTCCCTTGTTGGGTTGTGTGCGAAGGCAGGACAAGCTCCATGCTCTGGACATAGGTGTGCTCGGTTGAAATGGCCTGTTCATCTTTAGAAAGATCTGAAACAGAGCAGCAATGAATCAATGAATGCTTTCAGAAGAAAGCACACCCAGTGAAGAGAGCAGCTTGTTCAGACTCAGCAAAAAGACGACAAACAGAAAGGCACAGAAGAGCCTTGTGGTTTGCAAGGGAAGCAATAAGAAGCTGGACGTTTTCTCTGTTCTCCCAGGAGCTGCTACTGCCAGCCCTCAGCGCATGCCCACATCCCTGTACCAGGGGCAGTTCTGTGCCATTTTTGTCAGGGGCAGTTCTGAGTCCCTGTGTCAGGACAGTTCTGTGTCCCTTTGTCAGGGGCAGGTCCTGCAGGGGAGCAGCAGCTGAAGCCCCAGCGTGTGCTGGCTTTCAGGGGCTGTCAGAGCAGTTCAGCACCAACTCAAATGTCTGTCAAAGACTCTGCACTGTGTTTGATGGGCACCCCTACAGGTGTGTTGAATTAAGACTAGAGCAGGACTTATTTCACCTTCTTACAAATTTTTAATTGCCTGAGATAACACCTGCGCGAAATGACTGAAATGAGGATCTGAACCGCCTTGTATTACCCGAACAATTCTGATGTCACTTTCAAGTGTTCAGCCTTGCATCCTCACGCTAATCTCAATTCTTCTCGGTCGTGTTTCACAGGAAAAGATTTAGGCATGAGATTACATCAAGTAATTTTAAAAGTGCCTATCTGTGCTAGGAGCTGCTTGACCTGAATTGTGCTTTTGACTTGTGGCATAATTAGCTAACTTTGTGATTATGTAAGTGTGTGGACACATATGACTGACTTGTACTTTGGACCTACTCAAGGTGTTCCCTAAGATCCACTCGTCAAACAAACCTCACTTTCAGGGTATGATTTGTACATGTGCTGCTCCCTAGCAGCCTTTACACACAATGTTCTCTCCTCTCTTCTCCCACTCTGCTTGTTCTGTCTCCTTAAGGAGGTGAATTAGTGCTACAATATATAATATCCTTCAAAGAAATTTCCAGGAAAGGCAGTGGAGACAAAACCCATCAACCTCTGATTTGTCACTCAGGTTATTAAACTGCAACCCTGTGGGACAGTTACCATGAAGACAAATAGCTTGTTTTCTTGTTCTACGAAGTCTTACTAAATTGTTAAGGTTAGATTTTTGTTTATAACAGGTTTAATCTCTCCTCAGTAAAACCACACAATGCCTGTTATTTATACATGGAGCTACAGCTCAGATTTTCCAAATACCAGCATATTTTCCTAACTGCTTTGAGTAATTTCTTTTGTGAGGGAACACAACAACTTACAAGCACAACTTTCTTTAAGAACAGAAATTACTACCATAAATAACGAGGAACCTGTTTCTTTGTTCAGTTCTTCTAACTTTTTTACCTGTTTTGACCTCCACATAGTGAAACTTCTGCTTGCTGGGAATCATCTCAGGGCATAAACATAGTTCTTACTTTCCTTTCTGGCAAAGGCATGGCCATAAGCCTGAATGAATGTCCTGCTTCTGTCCACATCACAACTAGTGTCACAGAAGTTTATTTACTGCTGTAAACCTGTGAAACCTCACACACAGAACCACATGAAGATCTGCATTTCACATCTATTTAATGCACACCTGGCCTTCAACCCTGTGTTTTTACATCTGGACTTTCTGAGAGACAAAGAAATACCACTCTGTTAGAGTAACTGCCTAACACACCTCTGGCACCTCTACCCACAAATCTGGCACAGACTTTTCTACCTGACACCACAACCCCAAGGAGATGCTTTGCCTGCTTTTTTCCTTCCTTCCAGCTGCTCATAAGTGTTTGTTCCACCTTCTGTGCTGAGTAGAAAACTCACCTTCCTTACTGCTCTCCTGCATCACCTTCTGAAGGACCTCCGAATAGTCCCTACGGAATATGCTCCTGTCCAGAGACAGGAAGTACTCCAGGTAGTCTTCTTCAGACCGAAGCTCTATGGGTTTTGGCTCAATCTGTGCAAATGGAGAGGAAAAAAATACAACAATTCTGAATGTCACAATTGTAACAAAGTGCACTTTGAACTTTAAATGGCATCAGCATTTTCTACAGCTTGTTGCGGTGTGTCTTGAGCTTCTGGGTCCCTTTCCCAGGTGTGCCTATACCTCTCTCCCTTCCCCCTTGCCCCCATGCTGAGTGAGTCCTGTCAATCAGGCTCAACATTCCAGTGAGGTGTCCTGTGGTTGGTCAAGTTCAAAAGATGCCCCTATGCCCAGGGGTCATTGGCCAGTCTGGGTGTCGTCCCCCCGCTGAGACCCAGCCCCCCTCACCTGGTTGGGTGGCTCACCTGTACCTCCCCTCCCCCTGTCCCTGAGCTTAAAAGGTTAATGAGACCATGCGGTTCTATTCTGCTGGAGCAGCTGCTGCCGTCCAGACCTCTGTAACCATGGAATAAACTTCTGGACATTGAACCCTGCAGCGGAATCCTCTCCTTTTTCTCTTCACCATCGCCAGAAGCTCTCTCTCCTGAGGTAAACGGAGTTCCTGACAAGCCTGGACTTGCTCAGTGCCCAGCTGCAACCTCCAGCAGCCAAGGTATCTCTGGGGTGATTTACACCACAGTTGCTGCCTTTGGCCCAGCAGCGAGGGTCAGACTGGCCCAGGCACCATCTAACTGATAATATTGGGATTTCTATTCCAATACAGCTTTTTCCTATCAGCTGTCCAAGATGACCAGTTCAATAATACAACTAACATGGGGTATAAAGTTCAAGAGATTCTGCATTATCCTTTCAGAATCATTCATTAAAACTCAATGACAAAGTGCTTTTAGCTTCTGAATACAAACATCCATGACAGCACACAGTGTTGAAGACAGTTCTCATTTAAGAAAAAAAACAAGAAATAAAAAAGACAGGAAAAGATGAACTTAATATGAAGGTTTGAGGATAGAATTTTGGAACCAGAAAATAAATACAGTTGCACTGGTCAGTGGTGTCAGTGCAAATTCCTGTGTATTTCAGTTCAATGACAAACTGCATCCAAAGCAAATGTAGTAATTTAAAGAAAATTACTCCATGTGGATAATTACACCACAGGTGACACTGAACAATCACTTGTGAGATTTGTCTAGAAGGCCTAGCCTCAGAAGCATTAAAATAATGCACAAAGCAGTGCACCACAGACAAATTCAACATTTTGTGTCTTGCAGTGCAGCCACTAATGTTTCTCAGCCTTTGACTCTTCCCTCTAACCCTCTTCCAGATTCGCTGCCTCCTTTCCAGCCCTTTTCAAGAGCTTCCTAGATTCTCCCATGTGGCCCAGTTAAAATATTAAGAGGGTGGTTATATTGACATTCTCTCTGTTCAACCTTAGAAACAGTTGTTTAGAAAAGTGGATTTGAAAAAAATATTCTTCAATGTCTCTGAGATTTTAGTTTGTCATGGAATTTGAACTGAACTCTCAAACTCCCTCTGGGACATTCCTGTCTTAAGCCTAATCTTAGTTAATCATCACCAATTCAATCCTGAATTAATGTCCCCAGAAATTTGGGCAAAAGGTGAACTGGTTTATGTTATGAGTATGATATCAAAGTAGGAACAAACAATTCTTACTTGATAACATTTTAGTGCTATCAGAAATTTAGCCATTAGCCTTTCAGAGACAAGAGCTGGGCTTTAGTTTTAGCAGAACTGCTCCAGTCTGTTTCTTTTCCAAACTGTGGCACATCCTCACAGAAGAGAGAGCAGTAGTGATTGGATGTATTAATTGCTCACGGGATGACTCTGCCAATCTCCAGTGGATGTTTATGACAGCCAGATGTGCTGTCATAACACATGCAGTCAGACAGGAAAGTCAGATCCACGATGTCACATTCAAGAAAGCAGAATTTTAAATGCAAAGGGAGTTTTTTTTTAGGAGAGTCTGAGGAGTGTCTGGCCTTCTCTACAAGAAAATTCTAAAAAGATTGTGCCTGTCTGGCACAGTGATGTGAAGGCCAATGGTACCATGACTGATTTCCAAACACTGGGGAGAAGAAACAACCCTGGTGTGAAAACCAATCAACATAAATGGCAAAGAACCAATTTCGATTGGAAGTGAGCTTAAAAATAATGACTTCTGTCTGAACAACCTCCCCAAGAGGGGAAGTAAAAGATAAAAGAGCCCACTCTGCAATCAACTTCTGAAAAGGAGAGAGACTCACAAGGATCTCCCTTTCACGGCTTGCCTCCGTCAAAACTGCAGGCCTCAAAGATGTCACTTCTATAATGAACAAATGTGCAAAAGGAGATGGAAATAGAAATGGAAACAATAACAATAAAACAATAACAATAATAATAATAATAATGACAGCAGCAACAACAACCTAACCATTTCAGAGAAACAAATTAGAAATAAACCCCCAGACTCTATCTGAAAAAGTCTGAACTTAGTGCTTTTTTCCTATCACTGATCAGAATAAACAGTGCTTCTGCTGTGTTACACGACCAGAAAAGGTGGGTTATTTCACAGAAACTCAGTCACTCCAAGCTTAGGAGAAAGCAGGAAAAATACCTTTTCAGCACCAGCTGGTTTGGCCTCATATGTTGCATATGCCATAGTCACAATCTTTTCATACTTCGTTACAACATCCTCTACTGTCACCTCTATGCCAACCTATGAGGAAGAAGGTGGTGGAAGAAGGAGACAAAAGAAGTATTTACATCATAGTCAACTGATTTGAGACAATACAGTGCAGTTTTTATCAGTCCCTTACACCCAAAGCAAAAAGGTAAAAAACCTGCTCTAATCACTAATACATATCTGGCGATCACAATATTCAGTCAACCCTGAAAGGTTTTTTAGTACCACAACTTTTATGTTTGTTTAGCATCACTTGTAGGGTAAAATTACAAGACCAGGAAAGACACTTAAGCGTAGTTTTATGGATATTATCTTCCGTTTTCTTCTGTGGCATTCAGAGCCCCCATCTGAATGAGTTTCTAAGGTCTGTACGTGCAAAAAAAGTGTGTTTAGGGGTGCAAAGCAAAATGAAACACTTGCACGTGAAACATTGGATTCGATCCTGTGGCATAGGCCTGACACACACCAAAATTCTGATTTTTTCTAATTTTTAGAAACTTTTGGAATACATTACCTGTGAGATGCATCACTCCCATTCATAACGATGGGAGTGCACAAAAAGCACCCCCAAAGTTCAGTTCTGATTTGAAGTGATCAGGCAAGGCATTGCATACTGCCTGCAGTATGAAGATTAAGATCATGTGTACACCTGAGATACGTACATTTGTATCAAAAGTTTCAAAAATGCTTTGAACTTCACCTATTCTGTGGATCTGGCCTGGACCAACACCACCTCTCCCATCCTGCCCACTCCACCTGCCAAAGGCTTCAATTCTTTGGGGCCCAGCTGCTACTCTGACATGGATCATTTAACAGGAAACACACAACTGTAGCACTCTGAAAGCAGTGCCATTGGGCAGTGTCATTGTTCAGATATCTGCAGATATCTGGAGCAAATAAACCTGGAGCCACGCTGTGCTCCTCTGCTGCTCCCAACTCTGCTCTATTCCTTCAATATCTTTAGAAAAAAGAGTGCTGGTCTCTTACCTCTATGCGGGCTTTGACTTGTATGTTCACCTTTGCTCTGATGGCAAGAATTTCTCCAACCCTGTTAAGAAGAGTAAGACCTTATAGCAGGCAAACATGCAGCTTTATAAGGGCTTGAGTTTGCCTCTCTGTGTACTCCTAAAAGTGGTGAAGAACATCTCATTAATCAGTCTGTGTCTTCCACACTGCACTGAGAATTCACTGAAGAAAAGTGAATTTTTCACCGTTCAATTCAACACTGTTATTCTCCAGTCAGACTTGGTCAATAAAATTAGAGCCACTGCACAACCTTAATGGCAACATTGCTTCTCTCTGCCGGTGTCTGAACGGCAGCAGGTGTGCTCAGGCACAGCCAGGAGTTCTGGCTTTGCTCACAAGCACATCCTGCAGAAATCACGGAGTCCATACAGCTGCAGGAGCACTCAGACACACTCCACAAGCACCCCTGGCACACAGGGGCGTGCACATGAGTAGATAACTCCAGGGAAAAAGTGCTCTTGGAGGGGGAAAGAATTCATGTTCCAAGTCTTGGCCAAGAACAGGACTGAGGTAAAGGCTTACTTAAATTGCTTATTCCACTGCAGAAGTAGGATGGGAAATGGGAAATGGGAAATGGGAAACAGGAAACCTGCTCTTCCAGAGGACCTGACAGGAACAACAAACTAGACAGCAATTTTCTTTTTCTTGTTCTCACCCAAGAAACCCAAGGTGGAATCCTTTGGGTGCACAGGGCAGGGGAAATGGTCAGTGCAAAGAACCAAGGCCAGCTGCAGGTGCACAGCCCTCATTAGCCTCTGCAGGAGATGCTCAGAAGCAGTTTTTGCATTATTTATTGCAAAGAAAAAGCACAACTCTTAAGGCAATTGTTCCCAACTGCACAGCTAAGGGAGCCACCAGCTCCCTCCCAGATAGGAGAGTGGTCAAAGCTACAGATTTGCAGGGGCAGAAGTCACACAACACCACACTTCCACTTAAAACTATCAGAAATTTACCAGAATGAAGTGACTATCATTCACAGACAGAAGACTAACAACATTTAAATAAATGCAATTTAAAATCAGAGGTATCAATTTAAAATCAGCAGTTCAGTAATACACTGAACTGCTGTGTATTACAGGAGGATGGAGAGGTTATCATGGTATAAAGATAAGTTTTGAACTATATAGATGTGTGACAATTTCTCTTTACATAATAAACACAGAAGACTTAATCCCTGCAGAAGATTTAGTCACCTGGCTTAGGTAAATAAACCTTCCAGTAAGCCACTTACTTAAACTATTTTATTAATTTACCAGAGAGAGAAGCAAGAGTTCTTTTATTTATGCAAGATGTTTGTATAATGAACTAGATGTGGCAAAATTGAGGAAATTGCACAGTAAACTACATGAAGGATGTTAGGGATGACCTGGCAGAGAAAAATAATTTCTTAAATAATTTCTTTCACAGTTACAAGATTGGTACCTGAAACTCTTATTACAAATGGAACATTGGTATTACAAGTGAGAGAAGAAATAGAAATATTCAGAAACAAATTTGGAAGGAAAAGTAAAAACACAGAGCAAATCAAGACAAGACAAACACTTCAATATTGTGAAACAGACCGAGAAATTCTCTTTTGAGTTCCAGATTTGGTACGATCACGTTCTCTTCTTTGTCACTGGCTTTAGTTCTCATTCTAATGGGCATTGCCCTAACAGTCTCAAGTCTGAGCGGATGCTTATTTTACACTTATGAACAGTTTTTAACTGCCATCAGCCAGCGTTGCTCTTTTCACAGCCACAAAAACTGCATGTGCACTGTCCCCTGCAACCAAGCCTATCCTATCTAACCTCTCCTTAATTCCTAGATTGCCCTGTGTGAAACCACACTAAACCCAGAAAGTAATGGCTTCAGCTTTCTGTAAAGGTATGCGTTAGGAATAAAGGGCCTATTTCCTCTGCCACTGAAAACCATGAGAAATGGTAAAACAAGTTCAGTCCTCTGTTATTTGTAGACTCAGTTAATTCAGTGCTCAGTGAATGTAAAACATTTATCTTTTTTATAAAATAGCTGAAAGAGACAGATGTTAAGTGAACCGAAAGAGACCTTGCAGCAATAAAAACACTGGTAACAGTAAGTTTTATAGGTAGCATTGCTTATTTAACAGAGATAAGCCGAACTGATAAGCCGGAGCCAGATGCTATCAGTTTCTCACCAGGCATCCCAACTGCCAAGTGAAGTTAACAAGAGTTTATTTCTGCCCTGTGAGATGGATCTGCTCTCTGCATGGGTCAGGTTACAGGTAGAAAAGAGCAGTTTTGAGACTCAGCCCTGTGGCTGTCCACGAGTCTGCTGTCTCCCATTTTATAATGCCTCAGTTTATCTCTGCCAAATAAGAGCCTGCAGAAGGGAAACATCTGAGTGCTGTCAGCTGGTTTGTACCTGGCAGTGTCTCCGAACACAATTTCATCCATGGACTCTGTCGTGCAGGGCACACCGGCATGTTTCTCAGCTTCAAAAGAGACACAAGGACACAGTTAGCACTCTGCACCTGCAGCAGGCACTCGCCCCTGCGCTGGTGCCTGACAGGCCAGGCACCAGGTCCGTCTTCTTCGTGTGAGGGACCAATGCAACTCTGCAATGAGACCCTTAGGAAAAAACAGAAGCTAAGTAAGATTAAAGTTTACATTTTTTGTAACGATTCTGTTGTAAAGGGTGTTTGTATTTATGGGTAACATCAGGAGATGAGACTAGACGATAGTGACTAACTCACTCAGTTAGAAAACTGTCATCGAAGGTCTTTCTCTAAAAATGAACTCTCAGACACGTACCTGCCAGCCAGGCGACCTGCTCCATCCACCGCAACAGTGTCCCCGAGTCCAGCTCCCCGTGGCCATCGGTGTCGGCCGCCAGTACCTTGCGGTACACACATAAGGCCGACTTCCACGCCCACCGCCTCAGACGCGGGAGGGAACCCGCGCGCGCGGCCGGCGCGCCACGGCGCCGGGCGGCCGCGCCAGTGAGGAGGGGGTCGCTGCGCGCCCGCCGGACGGGGGGCAGGGAGCCGGTTCTCCGGAGGCGGCTGGGGACAAGTGCCGCAACGCTCCGGGCGCCTGGGACCCGCAGCCGCTGCATGACGACAAATGCCGCGGTGCTCCGGGAAGAGGAGAGATGGAGAGTGAGGGGGTGTCCTAAAGTACTCTAAATCACCCCGATTTCCCCCAAAATGACTCCAAAAGTGCCCAAAATCACCCTAGAATCACCTAAAACCCCAAAAATACCCACATTCACCTAAAATAGCCTTAAATCAACTGAAAATCACCCGTCAAAATTCCCAAATGCCCCAAAGCCCCCCCTAAATGCCCCAATGCCCCCAAAAATCCCCAACATCTTCCCGGGACCCCCCAAAATCTCCCAAATACCCCCAGGACTCACCAAAATTCCCTTAAAATCCTCCTAAATCCACCTAAAATTCCCCAATCCCCCCAAAAATCCTTCCAAAACCCCCCAGGACCCCTCAAAACGCCCCAAATAACCCAAAATCCCCCCAGAATTCCCACTGCTACCTGTAGGAATCTTTTTTCAGCAGAAGTTAGGGAAATAATATTCCCTGTCTCCAAGAAGTCTCGCACACCGCTGGCTGCCCGTACGGGGCTGTTGAAATCGCCTGATGGCCTTGGAAAAAAAAAGAGTCCTCAGTTCTCAGTTCCTCAGTGTTATCAATTCTTATCTACAGTGTTGTCTCCCGGCCCGACAGAGATTCGCTAAGCACGCAGCCAAGGGCACTGACTGCACTTGCTAGGGGTAGTTTTGGGAAATTTTTTAGGGTTTTTTTGGGGAGATTTTTGGGGGAATTTTTTAGGGTTTTTCTGGGCACTTTTGGGGAATTTTTCTGGATTTTTTTGGAATTTTCTTGTGAATAGAGTTATTAGGAAGCTAGAAGTGTCAGAAGACAAAAAAGCAAGAAATTTCAATAGGAAGATATTTTTAAATCATCTAAAAGGCCAAGGCATAAAAAAACAAACAAAAACCCCAGAAACAAAAACTGAAATAGATTTCTAACTATTCTAAATAATAGACATTCAAGCCCCTATCTAAATTTTTAGAATTTTGGGGAAGAATTAATTACTCAGAGAAAGCCTGTATTTGATGAGTTGTCTAATAACATGCCAAAATAATTTCTAAAGGGGTTATTTTTTACCTCCTATCATTAATTCAATTGCAGCTGAATTATTCCTTGCCTAAGGATATCTCCTTTGTAATATTCAAGCTCTAATGTTTTCCTTTAAATTCTATGTTTATAGGGATGACTTTTGTTTTCAGGAATATTGTCTCATTTGTGAGAAGAAAAGAGAATATATCCAAGAATTTTCTGTTCATGCATAGCACATCAATCTTTCCTTGTTTTATGGTTACTACTTCTGCTTCCAGAAAGTAAACCATTACTAGACATTTCAGAATTAAAATATCATTTATGTTTTAAATCATTGCCAAAATGTCTTTCAGTCATCAAGTTTTGTCTTCATAAAAGGCTTGAAGGTTTACTGAAAAATTAAAATTTCACATCATTCAGTGCTTTTGAGAAAGACAATATCCTGAAGGTATAAATTCACTTACATAGTTTCCATGAAATTAGTATAGATAAAGTTATTTTGATTCCTGCAGGGATAATTTTTTACTTTTCTGAAAAAGGAAAAACATGATTTTTGGGGGATTTTTTGTCTTTTGGGGGATTTGAGATTTCTTGGTGTGATTTGGGATTTTTTTGCAAACTTTGTGATTTTGTGGGATTTTGAAATTTTTTGAGGGATTTGGGATTCTCTTTGTGTCATTTTTGGGATTTTCTTCGTGGAATTTGGGTTTTTTATGGGGTTTTGAATTGTTTGGATGGGATTTGGGATTTTTTATAGAATTTGGGATTTTTTTGGTGGGATTTTGGGGATTCTTTGGTGGCATTTGGAGGTGCTTTCTTTGCAGGATTGGGAATTTTTTTGTGGGATTTGGGATTGATTTTTTGGTGAGATTTTGGAATTTATTGTGGGATTTTTTTGTGAAATTTGGGATTTTGTTGTTGATTTAGGATTTTTTTTGGTGGGATTTGGGGTTTTCTGTGGGGTTTTGAAAATCTTTTGTGGGATTTGGGACTTTTTTGGTGGAATTTGAGATTTTTTGTGGGATTTTTCTTGGTGGGATTTGGGATTTTTTTTATGGGATTTAGGATTTTTTGTGGAATTTTTTGCCTGGGATTTGGGGGGTTTTATTCAGGATTTGGGGTTTTTTTGGTGGGATTTTTTTGTGGGAATTTTTCTGTGGGATTTAGGATTTCTTTTTGGGAGTTTTGGGATTTCTTGGTGGAATTTGAGATTTTTTTGTGGCGTTTTGGGGATTTTTTTCCCTGGGATTTGAGATTTTGGACTTTTTTTGGCATTTGGGATTTTTTGGGGGATGGATTTGAGGTTTTGGGGGGATTTTGGATTGATTTTGTGGGGGACTTTTGGGTTCTTTTGGGATTTTTTGGATGGGATTTGGGATTTTTGGTGGAATTTTTGCAATTTTTGGGGGTGGGATTTGGGATTTTGTGGCATATTTGGTTTTTTTTCTGGAATTTGGGATTGATTTTTTGTGGGATTTTTCTGGTGGGATTTGGGGTTTTTTTGGTGAATTTGGGGGTTTTTCTGTGGGATTTGGGATTTTTTGGGTGGGATTTGGCTTTTTTTTTGTTGTTCCCGCTCCTGGTTTTCCCCGCCGCTCCCGCTCCCGCCGCTCCCGCTCCCGCCGGCTCCGCTCCCGCCGCAGCCGCGCCATGTGCGGTACGGGAGGGCACCGGAACCGGGACACAACCCGGGACAAACTCCGCCAGAAACCCGGGACAGAAGCGGGATAAGAGCCGGGATAACGGCGGCGGCGAAGGCGATGGGGGCGGGAGCTGCGGGAACGGGAGCGTTCCGTGAAGACAAAACAATCCTGTTCTAGCTGGAGACTCAAGGATGATCTCTTCAAACTTCAGCCCCAAAGCATAAACAACGTGAAAAGATGACAGCAGGCAAGCAAGCAAGGAGGATGAAACTTCATCATTTGAAGTTATTAATTGGGCTGTTAACTCCTATATGCAAATGGACTAAAACTTATAAAAATGTGAGATCTCGTGACTCTCTTTTGCTCCCATCCTGGGGCCATCTAGGCGGAGCCACAACTGTGGCTCCGGTACTGCCAGGGTGTGGCATTTGAAAGCACTTCAATAAAAATCAAATTTATTCCTTTTAATTCTGTCTGGGCTGTGTTCCAGCTCCTTAAGGCATCACAACAGTCCAGGAGCCGGAATGGGGAGGAGTGAGTGCAGTATCTGAAAACAAACTGCTGCTCTTCCTCCTCCCCTTCGCTCTCAGAACCGGCCTGAAAGGTGCAGAACTCATTTCTGGGCTAAACACACCGATGGGGTTCGAGCATCATAAAGTCACCCCAGGACACGCCCCTGTCAGGGTCAGGGGGTCCCGTCCCCGCCTCATCTCCGGGCTGCCGGGGGTGCCCCAGCTCCGGTATCGCCCCTTCCCCTCTCCCTGCCCCGGGGGTCCCCCGTTCCACAGCCCCGGCTCTCACGGGGATCCCCAAAACCAATGTCCCGCCCCGTCGGTACCGGGCCATCCCCACGTGGACCCCCGGGACCCTCCGAGGGGCGATCGCGGCTCCTCTCCCCCTAAAAAGCTCCTCTGAGGGAGCCCGGCGATACCCGGGGCTCGAGTCCGGGATCTGCCGGCTCCGAACACTCTCCAGAAAAACCCTCCCGGAGACCCCGGGCTGGAGCCGGGGCGAGCTCGGCCTCCGCCCTCACCTGCGGCTCGGGGCTGGGGGCGCTGCTCCCGGGGCAGGGGGTGCTGCAGGCTCGGCGTGCGGGCGCTGCGAGCGCCGCGCTTCTCCCGCTCCCGCTCCCGCTCCTCCTCTCGCTCCTCTTCCTCCCGCATTCCCTCCGCTCCAGCCCGGACCCCCCTTTCCCACCGCTCGGCCCCGCAGCACCGGCTGCTGGGTGGGGGAGCCCCCGATCGGCCCCAGGGCTGGGCAGGGGGCTCGGGGACCCCCCCGGGGCGGATCCGTCCCCCGGCCCGAGCCCCAAATTCCGCTCCGGGGCCGCCGGGCTCTGCGGGTCCGCCTGGCAACCGGTGAGTCATCGGCGGGAAAAGCTCTGGTTGGCTGGAAATTGGTTAGCGCCTCCTCTGATTGGCTGGAATTGTAAAAGGCGCTGCGCCCTCGGGTGACCCTGGGAGCTGCGGAGCCCGGGCCGGAGCATTTGTTACTTCTTTCTCTCCCTCTGAGACCATTTCAGATTTCTTTCTCTCCCTCTGAGACCTCGTCCCTATTCTTTTTCTCACCCACGAGACGTCTTTCCTATTTCTTTCTGTCCCTTTATTACCTCTTTCCTATTTCTTTCTCTCTCTGAGACCTCTTCCAGATTTTTCTCCCCCTTTCTCCTCCCCATTTCTTGTTCAGTTTGTTATATTTGCCCAATTATCCCATCATCAAAAAACCAAACAATATTAGAGGTAGCAGGAATTTTAATTGAATAGCTTAAAATATATAAAATCGGATACACTTGAAATATTGACAATATAATTTGGTTTAAATGTGGGATAATTTGGTTCCAATAATAGCACATAAGCAAAAAAATAACCACGCGGGGTACGGAGTGCAGGATCCTTGGACACCTGCCACCTCACACACGAGCTTGCCAAATGAAAATTCCCTCCTTCTGTGCCGTGTGTCAATGGCATCTCCTCCCATTTTCGATACACCCCACTTCTACCTGCGCCCTCATCATCACCTTTACCGCGCATGCTCCACCACCCTGAGTGACCCCACGTGACCCCTGAGTGACCTCTGACCTTTGGCCTCCAGCAGCAGCTGCAGCTCCTCCTGAGAGCCAAAATTCCACTGAAATTACCCCAAATTTCATATAAAAATTCACCCCAAAAATGGGGAAAATCAGCCCAAAATTAATTCAAAATTCACTCAAAATTGACCCTAAAAATGGGGAAGTTTTACTCAAAATAAGCCCAAAATTCAACCAAAAATTTACCCCAAAAATGTGGAAATTTAACCCCAAATTCAATTAAAATCAGATTAAAATTCATTTAAAATGAACC